TCGTGCCGAGCCGGTCCGATCGCAATTCTATCGCGATTTCCAAAACGATCGAATCGTCGTCGTGCAGCTTCGACGCTTTCTCTCCGTGGCTCTCTGTCCGTAAATGGAAGCCACGCAACGTTCCGTTTCTGTATTTGCACGAACCAGTCGCCGGTTAAAAGCCCGGCCTTTGATAGCATCGCGTCTGATTTGGAGAATTTTCGCGAAAAAAAGAAAGAAATAAGAAAAAAAGAAAAGAGCAGCAGTCTGCTGCGGTTTCCCTCGGCCCGGCAACAACCGCGGCGATAGTCTCTCGTTTAAACGCCGTGGAAATGTTTAGCGGAAGCTGCGGAAAAAATATGCTGTGTACGATATTTCGGATGCCGTGTTTCGCTAGGCGGCTTTTTCAATGGCTGCGAGGAAGAGATGGTTCGCTGCTTTCGCGGTTTGTTCCATCGTTTCACAGAGGCGAAAAGAACGCGCGTCGCAACGGATTCGCGATCGTTGATCGCTTTTCGCGTCGCGTGCTCAATGGAATCCCCTTTTAGAAATCGGGCCGATCGAAGCTCGCGCTATCACGTCCAATGAATACGCATTTTCACCTCTGTGTATGGCACTATGATGTTGAGCTCATCGAGCAGAAACGCGTATCATACTTGAACGCTAAAGTACCGTTCAAGTTCATTTTCGATACTCGAAAGCGAACTCGAAGCGGATAAGCAGTCGGTTGATTTCGTTCGCGCGCTCCACTTCTCTACTCCCTGCCTACTGTAACTCTGCTACAGGAAATACGTATCGCGATTCTTTTCAATGGTTCTCTCGTTGTATCAGTCGCGCTTCACAGATAAGCTTCTGTTTCCTCTTGTTTTATAGATATTAGTTTTCATTCATGCAACGTTTACGGGCTCGTAACGAATCAATTACCGTTGCAACGAGTTCCAAGTCGTATTCGAGTCTTCTATCGTCTGAGAATTCTACCATGCATTATTCATCGTTCAACGGAACTATTATTTGATGCATTTTATTCGCGCTTATTCGCTTTTCTCGCGCTGTTGCACCTCTGTACGAACGCATTCGGCGTATTTATCTTCGTCGTCGTAGTCCGTCTCATCGGTTCGAAAACCAGCAGTTTCATAATGTAAATTATTTTACTTTGTCTTTGGGAATTGGACACTTAGGTACGTACAAGGACGCGTTTACAGAGCGCTTCAAAAACTTGGGAATAAACTTCGGCTACGTGTGTAGTTACCGTTGAACACAAGCAAAACGATCTTAACCCATTAAAGACCGACAGTTGCGTAAACGCCACATGTCGTTTGTAGTTTCTTTTCGGTAGATTCGTTCTTTCGTGAAAACTCGATATCCTTTTTCCTTGTCCGCGACTACTTCAAGAACTCTGACGAAATTGACGTATTTTATTATAATCACTCGGCCGATCTATTTCCTTTTTTAATCATAGAGCTAGCGAACATGCGTCTGATTTGTATCGAGCTTCTGCGATGTATTTACTATACCCACATTATACTAATTTTTTTGTCTTATCTCGACGATTGCTTTTTGAAACAGCGTGTAGGGATAGCGAGTTTCGTGATTTTCTTATCTGCAGCGTCGCATCTGGTCGAGGGAAGTTTCTAAAGTTTCGCGACCTATTTTGTTTCTCTCGAAAACGCTCGTTTCCACGATACCCGGAACGACGATTCTCCGCGTCTATCGTTTCTACGCTTCTTTCTGTTTCATTATACGTACTAGCGATGCTTCATACTTGACTCGCGGCACGATCTAGGAATTCTCATTACCTTCTCGTGGCACGAGCACATTCATCAGGTGTCAAATAAAATTCGCGCGAGCCCCCCTTACTTAAAGTTTAACAAAGATCTACTCCTGGCACAGGTACATAGCGCTGTTATTTCGCTATCGTAGCCGTTGAGATGAATTAAGAACGTCCTACTCGGAGGAGCACGGTAATCTGTTATCTTTGTTGGCCATTCGAACTCGTCCACCTAGCCACTCGTTCTCTACTTTCACTTCCAAACTGTAGCCTACGATGAAGTATTCATTGTTCTATATAACGTCAACGTCTCGTAATATTCCGCATTAAACTCTCAAGTATCTAAAATAGTTAGGAAATTTGCCATTTTCCAGCCTCGGTCCCATCGATCCGATTTTCTCCCCTCTTTCGGTAGTTACAAAATCTTCCACCTATGTTTTATCCTTCCACTCGATTACTTCAAACTTTTCACTCTTCCAAGTGGATTTTAACCGTTTTGGATCTAGAGATAAGGAGAAAAGGAGAGAGAGAGGAGCCTGATCTCGGGAACATTTATCTCGCCGAATCATTATCTCTGCTAAGACGTCGTCAAGAAGATATCGCTCTTTGACGATTACGTGATTAGATTAGATTTGGATATAATAGATTACGTGATCTGGTCGAGATATAGGCGAGGATGCGAAATCGGATGGACGTTATTTGTGCCAGGCTGCCAAAGCGTCGATGTCTGAAAAGTTTGATCAAGTTCGTATAGAATCACGTTTTTTAACAGTGTCGTAACTGCAGAGAGATTCGTAAAGCTTGTGAAATATAGCGTCATAAATATTATGCCATAAATTTTATCATTGCGAAACGCAATTATTGGAATTTGTTTCGGTATGTATTTTCTACGTCTGATGCTAAAAATGTAGGGAACCTTGGAGATGATTATTTTTCGAACTTCCATTTTGAATTATATATCGTTTCGTTACGTGATCAAAGGGTTAATAAATCTTTTTTACCTTTATTCGGCATGTAGAATGTTTCAGTTAAATTAAGCTTTTCGCTACATTACCTTCGCTATATTTCCTCAAAGGAATATTTCTAAAAATATTCTAACTAATATTCGATACGAGGCCGTGACGAGTAAAAGAAGACAGTACGGCAGATAATCTTTGTTATATAGTTACGCGATATTATTTAAAATTCTTTGAAATATCGCTTCTCGAACACAGGGCGAAAAATTTATTTACGTAAACATGTTAATGTACCCGAAAGCTTTTGCATACCATTGTATACCATTCCTGTTCCGATCTGCGAACATACCCGTGGAAATCGAAAATTGAACTTTAAATATTTAATTCGAGAATTCGCTATTTCCGATCCGCGACAGGAACCAAAAGATTTTCTGCTTTCTTTGGTCACGGTTATCAACATTTTCGAGAATTTTATTTCTTACTCCGGTTACTCTGAACTTCCCATCGTTGCTCTGATCCGCGAATACCATTACACAAATCGGTAATTGAAGTCTAACTAACTAAAAGAATCAGCTGTCTTCGATTTTCGAAAGAAACGGCACGATTATCTACTTTATTTTCAGAGTCGCATCTTGAATCTTTTACTCTTTCGTTCAATTATTCTAAACGTTTCGTCGCCGTTCCAGTCTGCAAAAATTCTTACGAAAATCTCTCTAAGCGAACAGTACAGAGAGAGAGAAAGAGAGAGAGAGAGAGAGTGAGAGAGTGAGAGAGGAAAAAAGAAGGAAGCGGAAGGGAAGCTCGATCGACCGTCGCGTGGCTATGGTGTATGG